GATTAAATCATACCATTTTACTGAACCCGATAATATTATAAATTATGTAAGTCTAATAGCGCACGTGTCTCATTTGACCCCAAGTACCGACAGAGGAGAGAACAGAATACGCCATGTATCCCATGGAGGACTAACCAGTCAATTATCCTTTCGCATAAACCACTGTATAATTATAGAAACACAAGGTAAACAATCTCCGATACATGTCCATTAACATATTAAACTAAGTTCATTTGTGTTCACACTCAGACAAAGATACTAGCGAGGTTAATAGTTTTATATAGTTATGCATAACATAAACAGCGCTAGCATTTCTGTCGATTCCATTTCAGCTTAACCGGCTATCCGGAAGAATACATGCACCGTACTAACTGCTAGGGCAGTTACTTTCTCCTTTCAATACTTCCCACCTGCAATAATGATTCCGTAACGTACTCCTTGCGCTATCTTTTGACCATTTGGCAACTTTTCGCTTCGTAGCTGACCCGGTACAACACTTTTCTTTCGCTTACTTCACACGGCCAGTCATTTTGTTTACAAAAAAATGGTGTGCTATGCGCATGCGTTAGAAGAGGGAAGTCCCTGAACAAAACGTTGGTCAGACAGGTAGAAATACCGATGATTATCTTAGATTTAATCCTTTTTATGAATCTATTTCAGCCAAATCCGATCGTTATTATCCATGAGGAGTCTCACTTGATATGTTTATGTAGTATTTGAAAAAAAGACAAAACAAAAGTTACTTCACCGTGATGCCCCTTTAAAGATCCAATGTCTGTGTCATTAATCAGAGTGTCCAGTGCTACATTAATTCTACTAGAAATAACAGAAGAAACTATCTTATAATCAACGTCAAGTAGAGTAATTGGGCGCCATATGTTTTCATATGATTTAGAATTACCTTCTTTTGGAATGAACGTTATCATATCTTGTCTCTGACCGACCGAAAATTGACGTTCTTCGTGTGCTTGATTAGATAAAGGTTTATATCATTCAATAACAAATATGGAATTACACGGTGAAACCATCAATACCTAGAGATTTATTATTATTCATATTTTTACGGAAAGCTAAACATTCTTGATAATTTATTGGACCTTTAATTTTATTTACTGCTCATGTGAAAGTTTTTATGTAAAAGGATTACCTCCGCCAAATAAACAACATTGGTTTGCATTGATACTTGCATTAGTACTTGTATACAACTTTTGATAAACAAACATTTTGTTTTTCCAACATATCTTTCATATTTCTTAATCGCTTTCAATATCAGTAATAAGTTTGTGAATTGTTTTTTCTTGATAGTAAATCTAAATAACAAAAATACTTTGAACCTTTTTAACTCTCTACTTTTCATCTAGACTTTCATTTAGAATTATCCCTTCAATTTTTTTCTCTGAATTTACCTGTAACTCACACTCCGAAACATAAATACCTTCTTTCTGTCGATCCTTTTGTTGTTGTAAATTTTCAATCCGAGATTCTATTTTTTTCTCTTCTTTATTTCTCCCTTGCTTATTTCACTGTCAAGGTAAAGAATAGTCTTCAAAAGAGGAGTTTGTGTGTTCCTCGAACGGTTCAAGGTAACTAACTCATGGTTTATAGGGCTTTATTTAGGTAGATATCCGAGGTGTTAGGGAAACTTCCGCTAGCCCGCAGCTTGTAGATTTCACAGAATTGATCAAATCAGGTCTAGTGAAAATGTTTCTTTTACCAATGAAACTATATTTCAACGCTAGCTCATTTGTGCTTTATTTGTTTTATTTGCTAACTGGATACTATTAGCTTGCTTACCTCACTCTATTACCTGTCAGTGAAGCCTAGCAAAACACTTCCCTATGGTCTCGAAACCCTTATACGTATAAAACATCGCAGCAGGTTTATCTCACCACCTCACAATTCAGTAGTCAATTCGAAAACGATTATTTTATTTCACAATATAAAGTTTACGAAATTTACATTACAAAACCAGGCAAAGTATTGCAAGGCAATCCATTGACCACACTAGTAATTATTTCTTTCTTACCTACTGTACACCTATCTCTTCATTTAATTCACAATGACATGCTTCTTGTATTGTATACTCAAACAGCCAAGACATACCTGCATACCAAATCTGGTTACTATGGGTGAAATAGTATAGAATATATGCGAACACGTTAATAAAGGATTAGGTCAAAGGTCAAGGTCAAAAATAGGTCTCAGCTAACAACTCTTTGATACTTGAAACTCCTCATTCCCAAGATATACTTCTACACCAAATCTGGTAATTCCACGTGAAAAATGCCTCAAGCAAACTTGTGTTCAACAGATAAGACAAAGGTCAAACCATAGGTCACAGTGACATACTTTGCATTCCAAATCTGGTTACTCAAATTAATATGATTTAGAAAATATGTCTCGGAAAACCTTTTAGGACAAACGGAATTTGGACGGCCTGAGTGCAAACCTATTGTCCCATCTGTGAACCGATGGGGGACTAATAAACGAAGTCTCATTTCATTAAGATACAATGAACTCATCCTGCGATATTGTTCTTTGTTCAACGTAAAGTCTTATTGTACACATTCATTTACGTCCTCAATATGACATCCCCTGCTTTGATCCATTTTTCCAGAAAGATTTATTATCACAATGTTTAGATTAAAAAAAAGTGTCGTAGAGTTATAACAGCATAGATTGTGTTTGCTAAGGTCGCTCTATATTGTTGCCTGTCTCTCTCTTCAGCTAAAGCTGAAATTCCAAAATAAGAAATAAAACACATTTCCAGCCAAAGTTATTACCGATTTGTTTCGCTTAGAGTCCCTTTTTTGTGACAAAGGAATTGTCTCGAGATTGGTAAGTTCATTTATGAGGTACATTGTATAAGTAATTTATGTGTAGATTATCAAGTTTATGTGTTCAGATTCTCGACGCACTGCTTATCCGTTTTCATGTCATACCGTTAATTTGTTTACCTTTTTTCATAGAGTTTCCTTGTAAAATTGGTTTACCAAAAGCTTGGTCCACCACAGTAAAGCAAGCTACTTAATAACCAAGCGTGTCTTTATGAGGTCTAAAACAAAAGAAAGCAAGAGCTGTGGTTATGTCATTAACTTTTGAAAACAGCACAATGCTTCTTTTAATATAAAAGAAATAGGTATTTTATGAGGAAACAGAGAGTATTGGTAGAACATAAATTTGATTTTGTTGTCTTGATCCTTTCCGTCTGGTACCACTGGTTATTTTTTCCAAAGCTCCTTCCTATGATCAAAATCCTCGTCAAAGACACCAAATCGGGGTTGTCATCGTATGAAGGACAAAGTCAAAATGTCCAAAATTACCTTAATGACTCAGGTTTTCAACTTCAGCCACACGTCGGTAAGGTTTATAAAGTAGTCTTCAAAGGTGAAATTTAAGCCTCTTCAGGAGCGAAGTAATCGATGACAATGTTCAAACTGACGCACCACTTCCCTAGAGTAGAATATGTTATCAAATATTGCATAGAATGCACGAGGACAAGTAGGATCAACTGTCAAGTATGTGGTCTCTTTATTGTGTACAGGCTAACAAATACTTCCCACTAGTACTTGATGTTGGATGTTAACGAAACTGCAGTTAAGTTCTGCTTATTAGCTCGGCCCATTTCCAGCCAATGTACGTTAGTTTATCGTATAATGTTTCTACGCCAGCTTAACCATTTCCAGTGGGGAACTTAAAACCAACGTTAGTGTTGTTTTAGTTTAGTTGGGTGACATTTTTCAAAAGAGAGTTATATGATGTGCTTAATAAAGATTGAACTTTCAAAATAGCCATTTGATCAATTACTTTTATTTTCTAATATTTGCTGAATTGCTATCTCGGCTATTGACGACTGCTTATATATTCATATTAAACAAAATGAATCTGTAAAATTGAGATTTGGTCACGAATGTTTCAGTCAGGTAGTGTGCATGATCATGTCTAATTTTAAATAACCACTGCACAGTAGTGTACGCATAACACTTCCATTAGAATTCGGTTATCATGGTCCTGACAAGTTCAGCAGAAATAGAACCGTATTTGTACCGTTTGCCCTACTGGGCCCTTCGTTTTCTCACATTTAGTACCCTCAGCCAGCTCAGCCGATCGAATGCCAACCAATTAGTTAACAAACTATTTAATTTTACTCTTTTTAAGTGTTTCAATAGCGATTTAATATTTTTCTCTGTTTTCCGACTTATTTAGCCACTTAGTGATTGTGCATTGCTTTTTTCCAATTCAATTTTACAAACGAGAACTACATTAACCTGTATCTCACGAGACCTACAACATTAACCTGTATCTCAGGAGACCTACAACATTAACCTGTATCTCACGAGACCTACAACATTATCCTCTATCTCACGAGACCTACAACATTAACCTGTATCTCACGAGACCTACAACATCAACCTGTATCTCACGGTTGTGGAAGAGTTTGACATACTTTCAAAATGAGAACTTCCGTTGCATAATAATTCAAACGATCTTTACTAAGAAGACTAGGTCTGATCTCATCATAATTTTCCTGTAACGTACTGAGGTGGGCTTGTTAAAATGAATGAGTTCGAAATATTTAAGGTCACGTGGGTCAATATGAACTATGTATTACCATGAGTTGTAGAATAATAGGTTTTTATTTAAGAATTTTATTTTGTTGGTTTATATTTCTTTCATGAATGAATAATCCTTAATCATTCTCAGGGTCATCAGGGTCATATTAACTGATTTTCAACTGCTTCTAATGAAGTATTATACTTATCAGAAAAGTATTAGGTGGAACATTTAATTACACATGCTATAATCATGAAAGGACAGTACAGTCGAACTATTTTAAAACTATGTCTACCACACAGAATTGTGTTATTTGTATTGAAGTAAGCTTTTATTCAGAGTGGCTGTCAGAAATTTTAATCCTAACTTAAATGTTTTATCAGTCAGAAGTGAAATAGTAGTTTTGTTTTAAATCAGATAATGTTGATTCTGTTTTATATTTACAGGATCTGTGACATATAACTGAAATGTCCGATCAGGATGAGCTGTACGAGAAGTCTTGGATTCTATATCACATCTTAGACAGATTTATAGGGAACCGTGAGAAAGTGGCTGCCTTGAGGAGACTGACAGTTATTCAGGATAAACTAGGACGTTTTACAGAAAATGCACCATGTGAATGCGAACCGTTTACTACGGGAAGCTTGTCAGAAGGAATACGCTTTAAGGGGTCAGATGTAGACACTATGTATATAGACAAATATGCGATAGTTATGTGTCCAGATAAGGACATCAGTAGTGAAATTGACCGCACAAATAAATCAGTTTTGATGATGAGAGAGGCTGGAGGCCGACCTGGTTATGTGCACCTGGAACTACTTCAACGGGGACAGAAAATTCATCCACGCTTATGGAAATCCCTTGTTCCAGTAGGGGATGTATTTTTCGTATCAAGTGAAATATACAGACAAGAATTTTCTTGTACAATGAATCAGCCAAATATGGAAATTCATGGCCCAGCAATTACAATAAAGGGGTCAGAAGTTACAAATTTCATAGATTTAGATAAGGTTAGTTCCTTTCCTTGTTATAATTGGCCAAGTGAAGCTAATGAGTGGGTGGGTAGACCACGCAACTGGCCAGATAAAGCTTTGAGAGATCAGATAATAAATGGTGGTTGTCAGCTAGTCCCGGTAGGGGATAAAACGTCTGCTGACCCGTTCCTACAGTGGAGGATATCCTTCGTGAGTGCGGAAAGGAAACTCATTCATTCTTTAACTCATGTCCAGTTTTTGGTATATGGACTTCTTAAGTACTTCCTGAAACAGATATCTGGAACGTTGGAACAAATGTTAGGTGCTGCAGATATTCTGTCTTCCTATATTATGAAAACAATTGTATTCTATGCTGTAGAAAGCACAACTGAATCCTTTTGGCAGGAAAAACATACGTTTCTCTGTTTCATGTTTTGTTTGAAGATTTTAGTCATTTGGGTAAAAGTAGGACATTGTCCGAACTACTTCATTAAGAACAACAATATGTTCCTTGGCAAAGTTCATGGTGAAAATCAACGGAAACTTCTGTATTTTCTCACTTACCTCCATCACATGAATTGGGGATGTCTCTCATTTGGAACATTTATACAACCATCCATAGGAGAGCGTATCCGTAATGTAAGGAAAGGAGAATTGGAATATGTACTACCTCAACCAACTAAGTCAGAATGTGGTCGTGATATGTATGTTTTCCACAGAGCATTCATTTTAAGGTTTAGTTCTGGTAAACTTCCTTTGTTGTTGAAACTCCTTTCAGGATCAAAGTCGGAAATTGATGAATTCATAGCCTACTTGGCAACAATTCAAGCAATATCTAATACAGGGATGGAAACATTCAGTGAACACATCACCGCAAGAGGAAATAAAGCGAAGTACAAATATCTCAGGAAATGCAAAAACTTATTGAAACCGTTTGCAACAACGCCTACAAGTCCAGGACTACTAACATTTTACTACCAGACTGGGAATTACATGAAAACATTAGAAATGTGTGGCCACATGATCTCTTCATCCAAAATGTGTCTTGATCGTTCAGACTTTAATCGTGTGAAAATGTATGAAAAGCTTTATTGTGGACGTGGATACAACTTTCTGCAAAAATGCCAGGCATTTGTATCAGATATCATAATACCAAAAGAAGCTCCCAAGTTCTGTCCGTCCCATTTACACACAGAGATTAAAAAAGCTAAACAGGGAGGTTCCATTCGAATCCCTCCACTCCACTACGCCGTGTTCCTGTCTTTCCTTTGTTACCATGAACTTGGAGACACAAGGAGACGTGACAAATCCTTGATTGACCTTCGGTACCTGACGTCTGAAGTAAGTAGTAGGCCAAGGAAGTGGATAGTCCACAATCTCCTGGGGATGTGCTATGAAATGGTTGGGGACGCACGTAGTGCTATCAGGGAATACACGGAATCTCTTCAAAGTAAAGGACTTGATCAACATCAGAACGCTGCCAAGGAGAGGATAGAACGTTTACAGCACTCACGCATATAAACATTACTAATATAATACTCCTACACAAAGGATCTGAACATAACACTTTACTAACGTTTAAGTGATACTGAACCAGCCACACCAAGTAAACATTATCGCATTTAAAACTCTGTTGGATGTCAAGATACTTAACATCCGTATTGTGATATATTAATATCGGTGAACGTCCAGTTCCTAGAACGATGAACGCGATTTCCTAAGGAATTGCAGTGGTGAGTTTGACATTCATCAACTCCCCTCTGTTATTGGAATTAAAGAAAACTATTTAGTTCCTAGACCTGTCTTAACATTAGTTTTGCATTCCCACGAACAAAACGGTTCATGATCCTGTTATATTTTTAAAAATCAGGCAACATGACTAGGAAATTCCACATCCCGGGACACGTCTAGGCTTTTTGTACTGACTGTTTTTTAATTTTTTAATTACTGATTAACAATCATTGTTTGCAGGCTACTTTAGCAAGGTGTAATTTAAATATAGTCGTAGGTTGGTGACCGACTTCAGTGTTGACGAGGAATGTAATAGTCACCTACAGTCTGTAACAGAACTTGTTGTTTTGATATTATGAGTAGTGATTCTGTATTGGGTAGTTATTGGATAACTTGATAACTCATACTTGTGTGTCGTATGTTTAGGGGATAACCCTACTGTATTTTGAAATTTGCGATTGTATATCGTGATTATACTGACGCAAATTGAGTACCGTATATTGGAAAACTTCGCCGCAGTTAAACTTTCGCCCCTTTCGCCTTCCAATCTGAGGGCGAATTTAATATGACGGCGAAATTTTAAAAACAATTACGTATGCGACGGCACATGTTTTGTCACTATTTCGTCTACACTGAGGCTTAACTTAGGTACCGTATGTTATGCAATTTGGGTCCAGTGTGTGTGATGCAACCTTGTGTTTCATAATAAAGGACTGACAATCTGGTTTTTTTTTTTTTAATATTTCAAAAATACTTCATTTAGTTACAAACATTTGCATGAATGCTAAGTGTTCGTCGGAGAGGCCGTTACAGGGAATTTCCACTGTTGGCGATGTAGGGCGAATTTACCACTGGGCGGATAAGGAATCTGTCAGTGAAGGGCGAAAGATTAACGGGGCGAAAGATTAACGGGGCGACAGCTTTGCGGTATGTAGTATTACTGGTGTGTTTTAGTGTTTACGAGGTATGTAGTATTACTGGTGTGTTTTAGTGTTAACGAGGTACGTAGTATTACTGGTGTGTTTTAGTGTTTACGAGGTATGCAGTATTACTGGTGTGTTTTAGTGTATACGAGGTATGTAGTATTACTGGTGTGTTTTAGTGTTTACGAGGTATGTAGTATTACTGGTGTGTTTTAGTGTTTACGAGGTATGTAGTATTACTGGTGTGTTTTAGTGTTTACGAGGTATGTAGTATTACTGGTGTGTTTTAGTGTTTACGAGGTATGTAGTATTACTGGTGTGTTTTAGTGTTTACGAGGTATGTAGTATTACTGGTGTGTTTTAGTGTTTACGAGGTATGTAGTATTACTGGTGTGTTTTAGTGTTTACGAGGTATGTAGTATTACTGGTGTGTTTTAGTGTTTACGAGGTATGTAGTATTACTGGTGTGTTTTAGTGTTTACGAGGTATGTAGTATTACTGGTGTGTTTTAGTGTTTACGAGGTATGTAGTATTACTGGTGTGTTTTAGTGTTTACGAGGTATGTAGTATTACTGGTGTGTTTTAGTGTTTACGAGGTATGTAGTATTACTGGTGTGTTTTAGTGTTTACGAGGTATGTAGTATTACTGGTGTGTTTTAGTGTTTACGAGGTATGTAGTATTACTGGTGTGTTTTAGTGTTTACGAGGTATGTAGTATTACTGGTGTGTTTTAGTGTTTACGAGGTATGTAGTATTACTGGTGTGTTTTAGTGTTTACGAGGTATGTAGTATTACTGGTGTGTTTTAGTGTTTACGAGGTATGTAGTATTACTGGTGTGTTTTAGTGTTTACGAGGTATGTAGTATTACTGGTGTGTTTTAGTGTTTACGAGGTATGTAGTATTACTGGTGTGTTTTAGTGTTTACGAGGTATGTAGTATTACTGGTGTGTTTTAGTGTTTACGAGGTATGTAGTATTACTGGTGTGTTTTAGTGTTTACGAGGTATGTAGTATTACTGGTGTGTTTTAGTGTTTACGAGGTATGTAGTATTACTGGTGTGTTTTAGTGTTTACGAGGTATGTAGTATTACTGGTGTGTTTTAGTGTTTACGAGGTATGTAGTATTACTGGTGTGTTTTAGTGTTTACGAGGTATGTAGTATTACTGGTGTGTTTTAGTGTTTACGAGGTATGTAGTATTACTGGTGTGTTTTAGTGTTTACGAGGTATGTAGTATTACTGGTGTGTTTTAGTGTTTACGAGGTATGTAGTATTACTGGTGTGTTTTAGTGTTTACGAGGTATGTAGTATTACTGGTGTGTTTTAGTGTTTACGAGGTATGTAGTATTACTGGTGTGTTTTAGTGTTTACGAGGTATGTAGTATTACTGGTGTGTTTTAGTGTTTACGAGGTATGTAGTATTACTGGTGTGTTTTAGTGTTTACGAGGTATGTAGTATTACTGGTGTGTTTTAGTGTTTACGAGGTATGTAGTATTACTGGTGTGTTTTAGTGTTTACGAGGTATGTAGTATTACTGGTGTGTTTTAGTGTTTACGAGGTATGTAGTATTACTGGTGTGTTTTAGTGTTTACGAGGTATGTAGTATTACTGGTGTGTTTTAGTGTTTACGAGGTATGTAGTATTACTGGTGTGTTTTAGTGTTTACGAGGTATGTAGTATTACTGGTGTGTTTTAGTGTTTACGAGGTATGTAGTATTACTGGTGTGTTTTAGTGTTTACGAGGTATGTAGTATTACTGGTGTGTTTTAGTGTTTACGAGGTATGTAGTATTACTGGTGTGTTTTAGTGTTTACGAGGTATGTAGTATTACTGGTGTGTTTTAGTGTTTACGAGGTATGTAGTATTACTGGTGTGTTTTAGTGTTTACGAGGTATGTAGTATTACTGGTGTGTTTTAGTGTTTACGAGGTATGTAGTATTACTGGTGTGTTTTAGTGTTTACGAGGTATGTAGTATTACTGGTGTGTTTTAGTGTTTACGAGGTATGTAGTATTACTGGTGTGTTTTAGTGTTTACGAGGTATGTAGTATTACTGGTGTGTTTTAGTGTTTACGAGGTATGTAGTATTACTGGTGTGTTTTAGTGTTTACGAGGTATGTAGTATTACTGGTGTGTTTTAGTGTTTACGAGGTATGTAGTATTACTGGTGTGTTTTAGTGTTTACGAGGTATGTAGTATTACTGGTGTGTTTTAGTGTTTACGAGGTATGTAGTATTACTGGTGTGTTTTAGTGTTTACGAGGTATGTAGTATTACTGGTGTGTTTTAGTGTTTACGAGGTATGTAGTATTACTGGTGTGTTTTAGTGTTTACGAGGTATGTAGTATTACTGGTGTGTTTTAGTGTTTACGAGGTATGTAGTATTACTGGTGTGTTTTAGTGTTTACGAGGTATGTAGTATTACTGGTGTGTTTTAGTGTTTACGAGGTATGTAGTATTACTGGTGTGTTTTAGTGTTTACGAGGTATGTAGTATTACTGGTGTGTTTTAGTGTTTACGAGGTATGTAGTATTACTGGTGTGTTTTAGTGTTTACGAGGTATGTAGTATTACTGGTGTGTTTTAGTGTTTACGAGGTATGTAGTATTACTGGTGTGTTTTAGTGTTTACGAGGTATGTAGTATTACTGGTGTGCTTTAGTGTTCACGAGGTATGTAGTATTACTGGCGTGTTTTAGTGTTTACGAGGTATGTAGTAGTCACTTACAGTCTGTAATAGAGCATAATGGTTTAATGTGTGTGGTAGTTTGGAGAAATGATTTATTGTTACTTAACTAACTACTAGTGTCTATACAAATTGTTTACCTGATTTGAAAACTGTATATATGAATGATACATAAACGTATGGTGTTCAGATTTTAATGATTTATTAGGCAGCATTGATTGTGTTTTACCAGAACATCACCAGCCTAAATGTTTCTTCAATCATCATGCACACCGTCCGTTTTTAAAGAAATCTACAGCATCAGATGCTACTTTGTCATATATTACTCAAATGTGATATGTCGGTTCCTTTTGGTTCGCATTGAAAAGATTTGTTTCTCTCATTCCAATCACTAAATTTATTCCAGATTCACAAAAAATAGTATATTGGATTTTGAGACTCCAAATTCGTTATCATCATTTCTCAAGAAGTGTTTAACATACCTATTTCAAATTTAATATGCGTTTTTCACTTGGTCCGTTGTTGTAAATTTTACTTTTGAGACTGATTAGATGTACAAAATAGCCACAAAGCAGCCATGTAGGATGCTGACAGCTCACTTTTGTGTATATCCTAGTTCTCCTAGACCTTGTGCGTTGTCATATCGAGACTCATCGGCATAATAAGGTGGCACCCTATCAGTCATTCTGGTTTTTCCCAGTTCAAAATTCTTTCTTCATTATCATATGCTGATTCTTCTTGGTTCTTTGTTGTTCACGTTTCATTTTTAAATTGATCCTGAAATAAAGTTATTCCAATCTCTTAGGTTGTATTTTTGTTATTTTCATTGCAAATCACTGTCTTAATTTTTACCAACAGTCAACATTTTACGCATAACATTAATAATTATCTAAGAAAAATGACACAAAGGACAAAATTGGCATAGGTTTCTTTTTGTATTAACAATCACCTGTATGGATATTGTTTTGTATTATTAGTAGACCCTCGTGATCATATCTAGTTGTGTAGCAGATGTAAGGTTTCATGTGTGGTATAACTTTAATCTGACACGAAGATATTGTATCACATACCTATGTTTTATTTTATTAATTTGATTGTTTAATTGCACTTGTTTATCATTCTTGTTAATGATAAGTATAATACAATCCAATTGTTTCTGACGTACATCACAGTTTGTATTCATGATCGATCATGTAGATTTGTTGTATTATTTACATACATGTACATCAATATTCAATGAACAAACATGTACGATGCCATAATTAAATGTCATATTCACCATCACAAAAGTCTATAATTGTATAGGGTACAATGAGCATATATTTTCAATGAACAGACATGTAATATCAACATACATGTACAATGCCATTACAGGTCAAATGAACATACATGTACAATGAGGATACGTGTTTAGATGTACAATGAGAATACATGTACAATGAACATACATATACAATGACCATTCTGTAACCGGGTCTCAAATTGACCACCAAGTCGTTATTTGTCGTGAATAATTCTTTATTCGACAGAGGTTAAAACACCTACACTCTGTAACAAACACAAATTAAAAGACTACAATTACTCAGAGCGTATACACATTACACATATAGGTTACACGAAAGGGAGGTAACTCTTAGATATCACTTGTTACATTTAACACGAATATAAACTATAAATGGGCATATTTAATTACATTTGACCAAGATATCAACTTCGTAAGAATTATTATTACAATCATGCTATTTAAATTACATTAAATAGCTAACATAACATATAACATTAAACTGATTTTTCAGAGCGAAAGATCTACTTTCCTTTAAATAAAATGTAAAGATCTATATCATAATGCGCATAGATAAACTGGGTTTTCCCAAATATAAGTATAACATTTAAGCATAAAAGAGGTAATCACCTGTGTATGGCACAGTGCCGTTTTAACCTCATACAATACTAATCACCGGTACTCCATGCTTTCTTCCTTTTCCTTACGTGATAACATCTAAATGTATAAAAACTTTTCTTACTCATAATACTCTCGATATAACCATACAGAAGATAATGGAATAATTTAACCATTACTCATTTATATTAGGGTTAGGGTTAGCATACATGCTCAATAAACATACATGTATAATGAGTAGACATGTACAATGAGCATACATTTAAAGATGT